CCCCCCCCCCCCGCTTCTGGAAGTCAATAAAAATCCATTATTTTCTATCAACAAATGTCTCTGTCACCGAGCACTCTGAGTGTCTAAAACAGGCTGCAAACAAAGGTTCAGCACAGTTCATTCATAGCTTTCTACAAGCTGAGTCAAGCTGGACCAGGCTGGGCCATGTCCCTGACCAGGCATAGGGAGGACAAGAATGGGCATCCCTGCCTGATGGTTTTTTTTTGGATGCTGAGTGTCTGAGCATAGTGGAGTATTAGACTCCATGTCAGACTCCCCAAAGGCTGCTGTAGGTGCTGCGATGGGGAGGGCACCTGCAGCCTGGCAGGTTGCTGTGTGCACGCTAGTGTGTCCATAAGTCCCAGGCGCCTGAATTCACTGGCAAGGTCTCTGGTTTGTAGGTGCAAACACACAAAAGAAAACAGGAAGAGCCCGAAAATCTCAGCAAATGCCATGGGCCATCCTCTCCTCTGGAAGTGGATCCTCTCCAAAACAAAAACTTGCCCAAGGGACAGATAAGCCTCTACACATGCTTGCCACTAACCTTCCCCCCAGGACTTCTTTCAAACAGAGTTTCTTTTACCTGAAGAGAGCTTCACAAAACCATTTTGTATTGCAGCTTCTCTGAAGCAATGCATGTCCTGGCACTAGACACTGGGGCAAGGCAGGGACCAGCCAGCTCCCCAGCCTCTGCCAGCCCACAGCACCTAACGACTCGCACCCCGAGGCACCCTCCTGCCCTCCCCACCTCATCAGTTTTGCTGTCCCAGGTCAGCTGGGGCTGGGCACCACCTCCAGGCCATAATTTACCTGCCAGCTGGAGGCTGCCTAGAGGACAGGAGCAATTGCTCTGCCACCTTCCCCATCCCACCAGGACACAAGGCACATGTGCCAGCCCTCGGGAAGGAGATGCAGCCCAGCCGGCCGAGCAAGGACCCTGCACACAGGAAAGGGGCAGCTTGGTTTTGTTCAAGCGTGCTGTGCTAGAGAGGACACCTTGTGCAGAGGACGTGAGCACTCTACTTAGTTTTCCTACCAGGGCTTACATGAGAACGCCAGCTGTGAGGGAGTTCATTAAACAGAGTCACTGTGGCAGAATAAATGTCCCCAGCTAATGAGAAAAGCTGGTGCCAACCCAGGTAACCTCCCGCGCTCACTCCCACGCTGCAGCGGCAGCAGAAGGCAGCTCTGCCAGGCAAGAGTTAAACCTGGCCCGTGTCTTGGGGCAAAGGATGGTGGAGGGGGATGACGGCTCCTGCCTGGTTCTGCTTTCAGCTGGGATGGCAATTCCCAGTGTTTCACCCTTGGCAGCCTCCATCTGCTCAGCCAGGCTGGCTGCTGTCAAGCCACTTGTGCAGACCAGCTCCTGGGCAGCACTGCACACGCAGGAGCCGAGATGCCACCACCCCCGTGCCGGCTCCCAGCCGTCCATCTGGGACGTGAGGTCCATCCCTCACCCTCACTCCCGGAGAGGGGACCATGGCATCAGGAAAGCAGACAGCAGCAGAGAAGGCTGAGGGTTAAAAGCCAATAATTCAGAAATATTTCCTGGCAGGAAGCCAGGACATCATCAGCTTTTTCCTCCAGCCTCGGCAAACCCAGCTAGCTGTGCAGCGGGACCAGCAGAAGCTGGCACATCTCAAAGTGCAGAGCCCCAGCCCTGACAGCGGGGAAGGTCCCAGGACCTGTCCTGTGATGGTTAGTGCCCCAGAGCCTGTAAAAAAAAACCTTGTCTCACACATTTCCCATGAGTTTCAGCAGAGGAATCACTCCTCCGGCAGTCAATCACAGCACGTGCTGGGCTGCGTGCTCAGTTGTTTTCTTAATACCAAGAAGCCACATGTTCAAAAAAAGTATGTATTACAGCCCAAAGTAGAGCAGTTCCTGTTTCAACCCAGCCTTCAGCCTCATCTGAGAGAGGATTTTCATCCTGAGCTAGGCTGTCCCATGGAGAAGGGGGAAGAAAAAGCAGGTCACAGCCAACCTCTCCTTCGGCATGTTTGCTGGCAGGGGAATGCATAGACAAAATAATTTTTTTTTTTTTTTTTTAAATAGGGGGGTAGTTAGTTTTCCATTCTCCTTAAGCAAAAGATTTTTGTTGAAGTGTTTTCCATTTCGGGCAACAACCAGAGTTAGCTATTTCAGCTGGGGCAGGTGGGAGGGCTGAGTACCCTCTGCTTGCCTCAGCGGCAGCAACAACTCCTTGTCCCAGCTTGTTGAGAGCCCGACCTGCCTCCACTGACTGCCCCGTGCTGGTGCCCACCGCCCTGCTGCAGCCCTGACAGATGCCAGCCAGCTGTGCTGGCACGGTGGGGCAGGTCCCAGGGCCTCCAGCTCGCCACCAAGGGCGATAACTTCTCCTAAGGGGCCTTGCCCTGGCAAGTTTCCACTTCCAACTTTAATCGTTGTCTGCATTTCCTTACAACTCCTTTTCAGTCCCCAGAGCTCACTGCTGGGGACATAGAGCTGCCTCCATTTATCTCTGCAAACATTTAATTTCCACCCTTTGCTTGCACACACCCCCCCCCTTCTGCTCATTTTCTTTTTTAAGCAAACCTTTCTCCAAACCCACCCAGCACCACACCCCATTACTCAACTCTTCTAGTATTATTTCAGTCCTGCTAAAGTTAACGTCCTCCCAACACCATCACCTTGGGGCACTCACTACAAACTCACAAAAACCAGGGGTGGAGCAAATTCAAGGCAGAAGGACGAAGGGTCTCCCGGCGGCAGAAAGCTTGGCTCGGGCAGCAGGATCCAACCCGAGGCCGGGTGCAGGCGGCTCCGGGCAGCGCTGGGGCAGCCCGGCCACGTGCGAGTCGCTGGCTGAAACCCGGGTGTCCAGGGGAGCCCTTCCCGGTGGGCAGAGGGATTGGGTCCCACGAGCCCCATGCCTCCCAGCTGTGGGCGTGCAGGGGGTCACAGGGCAAGTCCTGGGGGATGGAGCTTTTGCTAAGGGCCAGGGATGCAAACTCTGGCTGGAGCCACACGCTGGATAGATGGACAGATGGATGGATGGAGCTCACTGGGTCTGTCTGAAATTGGAGCAAGGTGGGAGCATGTGTGCATGCACCGGCAGGATCCAGGAGTGCGGCAGAAGACAGTTCAGACAGCAGCACCCAGCTCGCGGGCA